CGTGTAGCGGAGTGATGACAGGGCCCGTGCTAGTTCAGGCTTCAAAGACAGACAGTAAACAAAATTTGCCATATCCATGATAGGGCATTTAAGATACTGAATGTGCAAAGTTCCATCTGAAACACTATCCAGCATTCTTGATCGAGTGTCCAAGCTGCAGACAACCCATCATTTCCCGCAGTGTGAGGTACACAATCTCAAGTTGCTTCCTGCTGGTCAGCCTTTGCACTGGGATATGCCTGCTCTGCTGCAATTCCATCAGTGTTGGAATGAAGAATTTCCGCCTGCGAGATTTCTGCACAACATTGGTATGAGTATTCAACGAGGCTTTGGCTTCGACGTGCTAAAGGAGGCTTTCGTGCCTCTTGATGAATCGTACACCAGTGACCGATATAAGTTGATGAACATACCACTATCGGAGGACATCTTCGTCCCTACAGATCACTGCGACAGAGGCTTCGTATCATGAAGGATGAAAACCTGGGCCTTGACGCCAACTTTACACCCTCTGGTACATTCGTGGATATTCACATAGGTATGTTTATATGCAACTGTGAAGACAACAAGGCTGATTTACCTCAGATCAAAACCGGCATGCTCTGTCACAGTCAATCGGTACGTCACGGCGTATCTGGCTTCTGTACCCTCCCACTGAGTCCAACCTCCGTGTCTTTGTTGGATCATCTGGTGAAAGTGGTCGTCTCACCAAGATATCCGGCCAGCTAGAAGGGGGTTATATTATTCAAGCTAGTTCATCCGAGATTATCTACCTTCCTCCCGCCTGGCTTCACGCCACCTTCACAGTATGCAGTGGTGTGCTGGTCGGTGTTAATTTTGTCTCACTCGAAAGCCTTGCCACTATGAGCCATAGTCTATGTGTTCGCTTTCCATACTTCTTCCGGCTCCCGCATAATTTTGAAGAGGATTTCAAAGTTCACCAGGAAGCTATTGAGAATTTTCTTGGCTCTGAGCATGATCAGGGAATCGTCGAAAGTGTCATACAGAGCTGGATTCAATTGGCTGGGGCGTTCCGATGCAAAGACCCCAACCCCGATCTAGCAGGTGAAGCCATGGCAAGATGGAGAGCAGAGTTTCATCAGATTTGGAAGTACACATTATCAGAAAAAGCAGCTAGCTGCTGCCGTCAAAGTGTCGGAGATATGTATCGGCATATTTTGGAGGAGCATATGTAGTGAGGTTAGAATTATACATACATACATACATAGACTAGCTTTGGCACCCCCACTCCTAACAAACCGCTCACCTCATTGGTGTGGCATTTCTTCTGTCTTGAATGGCCGGACGCCACTAAACTGCTTTGTATTATCTGAAACGGCCTCTACTCCGATAGTGTTTTGTGGGAGAAAGGGGCCTATGATCAGCCCAATGAAATGTAGAGGGCTTCCAACCCTGTACCTGTCGGAGTGACGACGAACTTAAGTATCAGAAGAGGATTCGAAATAGTGAAAGTTGAGATATATAAACGACGAGAACATCCTGTTCACACAATCTGGATTGCTGAAGATCGGTGAGAGTCTCGTCTATGCAATCCTTAATCTCCCCTGCTAAACCAGCAAAGGTAACCGAAAAACGACCTAGCAGCTCACGCCTGAAACAAAGTCACTCGCAACGAAAAGGCGTTTCGAGGGACTACGATGGGCTCTATTGAAACAAAATCTGGTGAATCACAAAATTTAGGTTGTGTATAACTGAGCGGTCTCTGACTAATTCTGATTGCAGAGAACGCGCTGCAAGACATGCTTCATACCACTGGTTCACTTGCAGCACTAGAGAGCGATGAGCAGAGACAAGCTCTCAATATCGTCGCCCAGCTCCGCAAGTACGGCCTTGAGAGCGTGCTTTCGCTCCCCCAACTAGTGGTCTGCGGGGATCAGCCTGCGGGGAAGAGCTCTGTTCTCGAGGCACTCACCGAAATCCCATTCCCAAGAAATGACAATCTCTGCACAAGGTTTGCAACTGAAATCATTCTTCGTCGAGCCCCAACAAATTCCCTGCAGATCAAGGTGATACCAGATCCTGAGAGGCCGGCCTTAGAAAAAGAAAATATCAGGGCTTTTAGCGAGGTTATCACCGATTTTGATGAGCTCCCATATCTAATGGCGAAAGTCACAACTCTTATGGGCATTGACGCTACTGCCGATGCAAGCCGTCCGCGCCGCGCCTTTGCAAAGGATACTCTCAGCATGGCCATCAAAGGCCCACAGCGTCCGCAGCTCACCGTGGTAGATCTTCCGGGAATAGTTCAATCAGAAACAAAGGATACGTCTCAGGAAGATGTGGCCTTGGTCTCAGAAATCACGGAACATTATATATCCCAGCCTCGCACAATTTGCCTTGCCGTCGTCTCCGCGACCCATGACTACGCAAACCAGGAAATTCTAAGCAAAGTTCGGAAATTTGATAAGGAAGGAGAGCGTACCCTTGGAATTATTACCAAACCGGACAGACTATCACCCGGATCAGGGTCAGAAGAAGCATTTATAGATCTGGCAAACAATCAGGATATACAATTCAAACTGGGCTGGCACGTTCTTAAGAACCGTAGCTTTGAAGAAACATCATTTTCATTCCACGAACGTAATGCATCGGAGGCTGCGTTTTTTCGCAAATCCAATTTCAAGGTTCTGGCGCCCGAAACGCTCGGTATCAGACAATCCATTAGAGATGACAACTTTCCTCCATCTCCAGCTTGTTTGGTAAGAATCCCTCACTCCAGTGACCATATTTTCTGACCATGAGTCCCTGAATCAGGAGAAATTTTATCCACCAACAGTTCGAATTGATGACAAATGGTTGCAAGCAAGAAGATCATAGAGTTCTGTGCCTGCAAACCCTAAAGATGCACATTAAATAGCTGTGCTCTGCTCAGTTATCTATATTCATGCGCATCCAGTTTAATATTGACAAATATGGATGTACGGATTCAGCATAGAATTTGATATTTGATTAAACTGAAGTAAGCTGGCTTGGAAATCATTCATTTTACACTACTGTGGAGAGCAAAGTCGTGTTCAACAGTCAACCATGGTAAATATCTTCTCCTGAGCAGCCTTGGCGCTACCATCTGGTAAGAGGCATTTGGTAACCTTGGCGCTATTGCTATTTTTAGTCTTAAAGAGGCAATCTGCCAAAAACCAAATGCAAGTGGCATTGCAATTGCTATTTGACATTTTAATGAAGTACCAAAAATAGCAATAGCGTCAAGACTACCAAATGCCTCTTGCCAATAGTATACCGTGGCCTTGGGTTGTCATAAGCGAACCAATCAATGATCCAAACTGTCGATTAGTTAACCCCTCTTCTGAACAATGGCAAGTTGTTGTGGCCTCTACGCCTACAAAATCCACCAGAGCATAGTTAACCTGGAGATGGGGGAAAGTTGTAATCTCTGAGATGGGTTGTCTTTCTAAAGGGACATCACATCTTCCGTATTTAGGTTAGGTTTACCTCCACAAAATGTAAAATTACTGTATGTTTGATACAGGCTGTATTATTGTATTCCCGTTTAGAATAAATAAATGTTCACTGAGAAAAATGAGTCATCAGAATTCGGGGTAGAGTTGGCTCAGGGAAAGGGGGAAATTGACTCCATGCCTGTGGCTCAGGGTAGACGGATACGTTTGTATGGCCGATCTTCAATCTTATATTGTCTCTTCCGAGGCTGCAATCTCTTCGGTATGTTATCCAGAGTGCATCGGTGGAAGTCAATGATCAGAGCCCGGTTCAGTTCCTGATTCCAGAGTATGTTTGGTGGCCGAAGGTCCCCATGCTGGACACCAAGTGACTGGATTTCACTTACCGATTGAGAGATGGCGGATTGGACGGTTTCATCTTGCTTCTTCTGAACACTCTCACCACCCCAGCCCATGAGGAGCATGTGTCGAATGTCTCCCGCACCATGAAGAAAGTATACTAGTTTTAAGTCTATCTTGCCTAGGAACACAGGAACTGCTGATCCTTGCAGAGGCTGCAGAATACGGTAGACATCTGCCTCCTGCGACACCTCTTTCCATAGCCTTGATGTTGTTCCTTTACCGACCATAGTGTATCCATATTGGGTGCAGGTGACTTTGAACGGCGCCCCATATGAACCACATCCTCCCATTGGTGTGCAATATTCATCCAGATTCTTGTCCAGTTGTTGTTTGACCATCAGCACCAATGCTTCTGCACTGATCAGGTGTCTGTCATCGTTCATCCCGGCACGATGGATCTCCACATTGGGGCAGCGGCTGTCGAGGATGCCGCCCTGCTGTAGACCCAAGAGACAATGTTGTGTGCAAAATCTATTGATATGAGGCCGAGACCGGCCTCCATAGCTACTGGTCTGGTTTGTTCTGAGACCTGAACTTGGCTGCTGGGTTGGAGGGGAAGATGTGATCTGGCTGAAGCCCCGTTTTCGTGTAGCAGGATCAGGATCTGGATTTGGATCAGAATCAGCATCATCCGGCGATTCACGGTGAAGGACCCTGGGTGGGGCACAGCCTGACCGGGACCGTGTTGGTATCTGTCGATCTGGGATGGCTGGGGCTGGAGAAGATGAAGGCTGGAATTCAGAGATACTCCCTTCAACAGCTTCAGAGCTAGTATAGTCCGAATCTGGAGGGTTCTGATGGCGTTCAGCAAAGGAAATCTGGGATCGTGCGTGGCTGAAACTGGTCTCCCAAGTTGGCAGCCGGTCCCGCGCATTGTTCCGCCAAGTATGGTCGCGAATGTGAGAACAACAGCTCATCAGGCAAAAACACAACACCTTTTCAATTTCGGTCTCTGGTCCTGTTGAGCCTTCAGAACCAACGTCCATGCCAGGTTGACTGAAATCATAGTACAGAGTCTCTGGGTCATCAAAGGGGACCCACAGCTGCACGTGCCCCACCCCTGTTGTCAAATATGAATATTCCAGCCCTTCCTGTATCATCACATGATATTCCTGCGCAATCGCCGAGCCAACAAGCCGCATGGCTTTGAATCTAGATTTCGCTGGATCATCAGTAGGGGTTGAGTTTGATTCGACAATGTCTTTATAGAAGTCAATGGGACAGTCTTCATCAGGGTCCGGGTTGAGCGCCAATTTAAGGATCTCATAGGGCAGTTTATGCGGTGGTTTGTATTCAACAGTGGTGATCAAGATCTTTGTGTTTCCCTCAACTCGTTGAATGCAGTACTGATCAGGATTGCCATGCGGCGAACTGAGTTGCGTCGTGTCCTCCTCATCAAGCGTGTGAGCCTGGCTTTCAAACTGCACCCCATCTCTCAGCTGAAATTCCTCCCGGGCCTGAGGAATCTTGCAGAGCTCTGAAATGATCATACGCACATGGTCCTCCACAGCCAGTCGCTCATAGTATTCAAGGTCGTTTTCGCTGCAGATGGGCGTTTTAAGCCTCTGGGCAAGTCGGGTTATGTCAGGAATAGGTGTGAACAGCCGTGGTGCATCACTCTGGTCTGGCTGGAGGTAGCGGCAGATAGAGTTGTAAACGTCTTGCTGAATGGTTGGGCAGTTTGTCCATTTTTTCAGATATAGCGGGCAGTATTTTCCAGTTGGGGCTGGTATTTTGCCTTTTGTAGAGTCGCTGGGTTTTCCGACTCTCAATGGCTCTGAGAGCAGGTCATGACAGTTCTGGACAAATTCTTTGAAGGTGGTTTGTTGGTTCCGCTCTTGTTCCTGTCTCTTTTCCTCCACTGCCTGTCTTTCGCGTTCCTCTGCCTGTCTCTTTTCCTCCACTGCCTGTCTCTTTTCCTCCAATGCTTGTCTCTTTTCCTCCACTGCCTGTCTTTCGCGTTCCTCTGCCTGTTGCTTTTCCTCCACTGCCTGTCTTCTTTCTTCCTCCACCCTCAAAAAAAGTTCTTTGTAATCAAGGTGGTCTGACATTTGGTTTGTATGTGTGAGCGAGCTCTAGCGACTGTTAAACGCTCCCGACAGGAATAAATCACAGGTCGTTCAGGCCTGCAGCTTGGGCATCCATGCATTTCACCTGGGTTAATTCTTGATTTTTCATCCAGACGGGATGATCTTAGTTTACGTGTAACTGGCTGACAAAGCATAGGGAGAACCAGCATCATTGTTTTTGTACAGCCAACAGGCTGTCTTGGCTTTCTCTCAACCCCCCCTGCACTCATTTGGTTCACATCTTTGTGCAGGTTGGCAGCTGTCATTTAGGGATACTGCTTCATTTGATTCTAACAATCCTATGGCCGAGCCAATCAGTTTAGCCTCAGGCTTGCTAGCCTTGGCCACCTTCGCGTTCCAATCCAGCGTTACTACGTACAAAACTGTTCAGAACTTTCGGTCCCATCCGAAACAGGCGCGCGACCTCATGGAGGAACTTGAGGCCTTGAGTGTGAAAAATACAAAAATGCAATTATTTCAAACCATCAATTCACCGGTCCCGCCACTAAGGATATTGACTCTTTACACATGCCACTACGTGTGCAATTCATATTATCCCAATTCAACCATACGAGTATAGAATCATTGAATAGAAGTAGAAGGGGGGCCAAGAGAGGTCTCACAAGAAAGAATAACCAATTGGTAGGCAGGGATTCCATGCAAAGAGCAGCCAAATTCCCGTTATATTTGTCAAGAGAGCTGGGGCCTGCAACAGCACTTGGGTTTAGTATACTTTCTTCATAGCGCGGGAGACATTCGACACATGTTTCTCATGGGCTGAGGAGATGAGTGTCTGCGGCCACTTTGGGAACAAGATGACAGATTGAATGCATTTTCACGCGTCAATTTAAGTAATTACCAAAGAGAATGCAGATAGGTTGTAAATATTGCAAAATATTAACATATATTTTCGAAATTTTTTTTTTTTTTTTTTTTTTTTTGCATGGACTCTGGGTCAAATCAACCTAGGTCACAGGCAGTTGAGAATATTTCGGGAAGGGGACTATTTCAACTATAGATACAGCTTTTGCAAGTCTCTGAATTCTGTCTTTGTCTCCATTTAGTGCTGCCTCCAAACTATGACAGCGACTACAAGCCTACTTTCAAGAACGAAGACTGTACCTTCATCAAAGACCACGTCGACGATGCGTATGATGCCGGCCCGGAGAATACGGGCGCGCTATTGTGGCGACATATTCAATTTCATATCGTCCACAGCCCCATGAAGGGCCGGCGGAACATTCTGTTGGCAAAAATCACACTTCTCCATACAAAGGGTGAAGACAAGAAACCAAGGGTGTCAGTGAATCTTCCCCTCAATTTTACTGGCGGATCAGAAGAAGCTAACATTCTCGCAGCAAAACATTCACCATCGGCCACCACCCAGACCCTGTATTCGACCTGCTGGGCCAATTGTTGGCACTAGCCGTCGCAGATGGCGTCTTTGCGGCAAGCATCCAAGATGTGAAAGTTATCTATGACTACCCCATCCCGTCCTACCTTTTGGGCGAGCCTTTGAAGTACAAACCAAAGAATCTTGATCAACCTGTGATCCGCCAACCTCTGGATGGCTCCAGTGGTAGGAGAACATCGGAGACTGTTCCGATGACGTATCAGACATTCTACAACTACATCACGGATCTCGGGAAGGCGATGTGCTTGAAGCACCGCCTGACCTGGTACGTCTGGCGGCGAGGGCTCATCAACGCGATCAACTGTATGTCTCCCCGATACCAGACTCCTTGTCGTGCTCTTCTAGCTTGCTGACTGCTTGCGCGAACAGCTGATGGAGCAGGCAAGACGGGAGCATTTTTGGAACGCACCTACCGAGAGGCTCAATGCCTTTCTGGGTGGCTCCGACGAGGGTGATAAGCGTCGCCGGCCCCTACCCATGGCTCCCCCGCCGCCCCCGAACCTGCTGATCGAGAAACGCAGAGGATTCGTGGAACTTATCCATCGGCGTACCTCGGACCTAAGTGACAATGAGATCTACAAACGGCGATGCCTCAGCATGAGCCTCTGGGTGGAAATGCAGGGCCGGAAGAAGGCTCAACAAGTCGGCAAGCTGAGAAAACAACACTTGACGCACACCAATCCTCCCCACGTCAGCGTGGAAATTAGAACAAAACAACGGACCATGCAGCTACCGGCATCGGCCTCTTTTGTGGTTGTGGTTCCAATGAGACGAGAGCTTCAGGAACTGCAATGCCTGTTCTGCAATGCTGACTCTGGGATGGACAGCCAAGCTCAATGCAAGGTTTGGGACCGGGTCAATAAGCTGTGGGATCATGTTGAGAAGCATGTGCACAAGGAGGAATTATCAGCGTACTTCTCTGGCAAGAAACCCTGTGGTCTTTGCCTAAGGAAGAATCTTCGCTTCGTTCCAGAGAGCATGGCTCACTTCAAAAGACATACTTATGACAGCCACGGCGCCCGACTGCGTGGGATGTCATGTCATGGTGTGCGATTGTCAACAAGATAGTCTCAATTTTTGACAGAACCTTAAGGCCCTCAGAGTCCATCCCAGGATCAACCTTTGTTTCAACCAGAGCTCCGCAGTTTAATGGAGTGGCCAGTTACGCCGTCAGTGGGCCTTGGTGTAAATTAGATTACTCATTCTAGAAAATCTCAACGCAAGATAATGGTTCTTGAATCAAGTTCTAATTCGATCAGCGACGTGTTTGTGCCATTCAACTGGGGTATACCTGCATTTGGACTGGGGATGGGGATTTTGCTCTTGGTAGTTGCGAGCTGATTGCCTGTTGAGGTTAAAGAAATGGCCATTTCCCTGGTAGGATTGACTTGTATTTGGATTTTCAGCAAAGGAAGGCTTATGTGTGCATACTCAGTTGTTGTACAACATACAATTTGGGTCTTTGCAGTCCGGGCGGGTGTTGAATTTGAAAATGAATTGCCCGCAGTGGTGGTTCAGCGACGAGCTCGGAGAAACAGAGATTGCTGGGAAAGGTAGACATTGAATACTAACAAGTCAACTGGAAAGCCACGGTGGACAGTAAGCCCGGCACTCGAGAAAGTTACTCCCGAGATACACAGCTGATCGTACAGATAACCATGCAACGCCCCCTCCATACATTTATCCCCCCTCTGCAAACCCCCTACATGAACTGAACAACGACCCAGCAAGATTGCATGGTCAGATAACGAATAAAGGGGCCTTCTCCCCTTCAACATATATGGGCTGTGAGGATGTTGTAGATGATAGACAGATGTAGCTTAGCTTGGCCCTTGATTAGCCACTAGGCTGAAAAGAGAAATGCATTAATAATAATAATAATTAATAATTGAGCTTGTAACGAATTCCCACCCCGAAGTTGTTGTGTTCCCCACTTCTTTCCACAGCAATACCAGAGTCAAGTTCGCCACCGACATCTCTTTTCACAGCCCGACCCACATCTATTTTGTCGGAGTGAGATATAGGTATTGTTTGGGTAAATTTCAGAAATAACCAGAAGACTGTAGGCTGGAATCCAAATGGCCCACGAATCCGACAAATATCAACTCCTTTTTAAGGAAGAAAAGAAACTCCGAGAGGAGGCTAAACAGCGCCTGCATACCACCCAGCAAGACCTACACTCGACCCAGCAAAACCTACTCAACCCGGCAAAGTCTCTATGAAGAGAGAGAGCAGAAACAGCCGACCACTATCTTTGAGTTCCTTGACGGCTGTCACACTCATTTATTCCGGGGACTTACTGTTCGTAATGCCAAGTATTCAACAAAGGGTGACTTATCAAACCCGGATGGCAAACTTCGCCGCGAGAGAATTCGACAGTGGCCCCATTTTGCTATTGAACAAGGGCGCATTTGGAAAGATCTCACTGGAGTGGATTTTGTCCTAGAGCGCCACTTCAAATCGCTGCATGGGCTGGCGGAATCTGGAGCAGAATTACAGACCGAGAAGACAGGGTCTGAATTGGATCTTCGACAGTTTCAGCATGAGACTCTCACTCGCCCCGTTCGTTCGGTGGTCACAAAACTGCATTGGAATATGCAAATACGCCAGCACTTCCGCCTCTTGGGCGGCATCACCTTTGAGAACCACGGAAACACCCTGAGTGAAGAATCCACGGAAACCAGGTCAGCTGAAGGACTGCGTCCCACAAAGCTTCGAAAAACCGGCCGAGTCAATGCCACGCCCGTTACAACACCACGGTCATCCCGCCCCCTGGCCGATGAGTTCTGCGTATATAACAAGGGAGCCGGTGAAAATATCCCCGCATACATCGTGGAACTGAAAGCACCGCATAAGTTGCCGCTGTCGGCAATCCGTTCCACACTGCATGACATGGATCTTGAAGAGGTGCTCCTGCATACGCCCGACGAGCCGGAGGAAGTTGCAGGTCGTCGTGAGATGGCTGCGGTGATCACCCAGGCATTCTCCTACATGATCAAATCTGGAGTCGGATACGGATATGTGGGTACTGGAGAGGCTTTCATCTTTCTTCACGTGGGCAAAGACCCAACGACAGTATTTTACTACCTCTCCACCCCGGGTGGGGATGTGGGCGAAAGCACGGGATATACCGGCCGAACTGATTCTCCCAACAGGCTACATCTGACGGCCGTCGGCCAGGTGCTTGCCTTCACCCTCCGGGCCATGCAGGCAGAGCCCTATTGCCAAATGTGGCGAATGGAGGTAGAGGCCCGGCTGAAGCCGTGGAGGCTCGTATACCGGGATAATGCCGTCGTCTCTTCACCGCTAACGGCGACCACACAGGAATACACACCAGAACATCAAAACCGAGTCGACTACGCCAGCCGTTCACCCGTTGTGACAAGGCCAAAAAAGTCCCTACGCCTGCGATCATCACCGTGCAATCCCACCTCGGTGTCACCGCGAAGCCCAGTGAATAGCAGCGATGAAGACCCAACAGACCTGACGAGCTCCCCAAGCAAAGCACCGCGTCGTCCACCCAATGTTATGGTTGTGGTGCCATCTCGCCGCAGTGACCAGCCTTCATCCCAGAAGTACTCCGAAAACCAAAGTCGGTCCCGGCCGTACTGTACCCACAGGTGTCTTCTAGGGCTGTCTAAAGGAGGGCCACTGGATGAGGCATGCCCGAACGTTGCCGACCACGGAACCGGCCAGCATCAGATCAACCGGTCTAGGTTTTCAGCTCTCCTCCACGACCAGCTGCTGAAGAAGGCCAAGTGCAACCACGATTCTTCCGAGTCCGATGGGTGCGAATCGCTTCATATTCACGGCTCCCGAGGGGCGTTGTTCGAAGTTGTGCTCAGGCCCTATGGATACAAGCTGGTGGTAAAGGGTTCCCACCCGAGTTCTCCAGGTATTTATCGCATGAAAAAGCTGTATATAAGCGCCTTCTCCCCATCCAAGGTCGTCACGTCCCCGTATGTCTCGAGATCCTGGATCTCTCCGAGCGGCCTCTCTTCTATGATGGAATTGCTAGGATCCCAAGACTCTTACTGTTTAGCCATGCCGGGGTTCCTCTTCCGCGCGCCCATGCTGACAGCCAAACTATCAACGACACGGCGACATGGTCACTTAAAGCGATTCACCAGCTTGGCGTGTACCACAGCGATGCGTTTGTCCACAATATGTTCTGGAGTATAGAGAACAATAGCGTGATTTTTATTGACTTTGAACGAGCTCACATCTGGAGTACTGGGCGAGATACCAGGCCCTATCTACAGGTCACATCATTGAACCGAAAGCGCAAGAGGCCAGATGCAGATCAAGTCATCAAGGAGATGCAGTTGAAGTCTGAATTGCTACGAATGCAAAGGAATCTCTGAATGGCCAGAGGATAGAATTTCTACGTGTAGATGCACCATTTACCTTTCCACCCTTTGCTTCGTCGTACACTTTGAATCTACAGAGTATTGGGATCATACTGTCGGAGAAAACCGTCCGGGCAAGCGACACAATGCAAGGTACACCGCCCATGTTTGTTCCGTATATGATTCCTCCGTACTGCTCAATATTCCTGATTTCTTGGTCATTGTGCACAACATAGTAGCTATGCCACTGAGTCTGATATGCGGTCTGCGGGGATGAATATGTGGCCAACAAATACGCTCGCATTTTTAGCTCACTCGCCTTACATTCCATCATCAACGCTGCTGCACACCCCACAGTAGGCGGATTCGAAACGGAATCAGGCGTCACATTCTGAATGGTGGGCGGGGAAATTGGTGGAAGTGGTTTGTTTGTATGAAGTGGAAGGCAATTGGCAAGGCCTATATATGAGAGGCAACGGTTAAGTCAAGTGGGGATGCTGAGAGATAACATTCTCCAAATACACAAAAGGTAAGTTGCCGCGGCAAGGAGTAGGTAGGGCCATCGGCTCTTATATTGCCCAGAGTTCATTGAACGGATCCCATATTTCAGGTTATTGGAACATCTGCTCACGGACCAGCGGAAGTGGAGGCTTCGGTGCCCTGCGCACTGTCCCTTCACCGAGCATCTACCCGTTTCAGGGCAATGTACACAACTAAAATATGGAGTAGTGAAGATGTGAGTAAGACTCCAACTGCATCTTTCGCGTAACAGTGAAAGTGTGACCAGGATTGCGAACGGAATATGGCAGAAGGGCTCGGCGGGGAATCCTGTAAGTATGCCGGCCGCTCGCCAGGTCGCATTTTTCGAGTGGAGGCCAATTGTGGGTTAGCATTGCCGTTACATTAAAGTCTTCACTCTTCTATTTCTCTAACGCAGCCTCTCAATCAATCATATGGTTGACGCTAGTGATATGAGCAATTGCCTCCATATCGAATGTTTCATTCTTGTGGCACGGGGCAACTTGTTCGAGAGAGTAAAATTGCAATACCTATAAACTCGGACGCTGCCTCCCGCGGCCATAGCTGATGGTGCTTGATCTCTTCTTTCCTTGTGGACGAGCAGATTCTCCGAGATTTGTTCCCTTATCAGGGGTGCTGTATTATGGAAATGGTGGAGTATTTTCTTTTCCACACTCCTGATCACACTCACAACGGTCACATCTTTTCCTTGCATGGCCTCCTGCTCTTGCCCTAAGCCTAGAGGCATATAGATGAATATCTCGCCTCTCTGGCTGGTGTATTTCCGCCTCGGATAGGTATTCCTGGAGCTTGAAATCGCCATCGTCTATGAAGTCTAGCTGTATCCGTCCATTTCACCTTCGTGGGCCATATCTTCGTAAGGCATATATATGAAAACGCTCAAGTCGACAGCTATAGAATTTTCCTTTGCTGGTGGGTTGTTTCTTGCTATCTAGTTGTATTTGCCCCTCCATCCCTAGGCTACTGGCAATGAGAGATCGGGCATAGCTCATGTGTGTTTCTTCATCTCGCTCCAAATTTTCATCTGCCACCGTCATAACTCTTTGCTCACAGGTGAGCTGTAGTACGGTAAAAGCGCCTAGTCAACTAGACTCGTGGCCTGCTAGGACGGCGGCTAGCCACGGAATGCTGGTGACAAAACCATGATGATGACTTGCTCTCTCCTTAAGGAGTTTGCGAAATGGCGCGGATCGAATCACCACATTATCGTGTGGGCCTGAGGGATCATCGTACAGGACAAAGGGCTGATCTGCTAGGAGCGTTTCAACTAGTGTAGGCATCTCGGACGCTGTGGAGAGGGTATCATCTTGGTCACATCTATGGTGTTCAGAGGAGATTGGAGGTTGGAGCTGCATTGAGACAAGTAATTGGTATGCATAGAGAGTATTATTCTATGAGGGGAGCCACATAGGGAACAAGGAAGCCTATACCTATATGCAAGACTGTAGCGGATATGTGGGTGAAAATACCCAGGCCAACCACGGCCATCGTACCGGAATTTATACTGCTTTAGAGCTCTACCTGAAGTGTGGAAAATGTACATTGTTGAGACTTGACCCGCGAATTCATGTAGTTGTATTGCATCTCCCTTAAAAGGGTTAAGGAAGAAATTCCTGAGCCAAGGGCTACCCAAGATGTCCTAGCAAACGGCTAGTTATAGTTACCATCAACGATCACGTGCATGTTGAATTACTATGGTGGGGGTAGTCAGCCCCTCCATGACGCGAAATCAAAAATATAAATCACCAGCACCATTCGGTTGAGTTGGAAGGGAAATATTTACATGTTATTGAAACACAGAACGCCTGCTAGTACATAATGAGCCAAACAATCGAAGAGATATCTGATCTGCCCAGCCAGGGCAGAAACCAAGTCCGAGTCTGAAGCGCCGCTTTCCTTTTTAAGACAGAAGCTAAACTTATAGCAGGTTATCATAGAACTTGAGGAAGAATGTATTCCAGCTATGTTGGAGCCCTCAGCCTCGGTCAATGTTTGCTCCGCCATAAAGGCCGCTGCTACCACTCTCGCTTCCGACGAACGCGACGGGAAAGGGACAACACCCGAGATGGCGAAAATGAAGGTGCTGCTCTTTAAAGAAACACCAGTCTATAAAGCGGTGGTAGATTGTATTGTGAAACATTTGCCAGGTGTAAGATATGTGCCCAATCTCCAAAATTCAATTCTAACTATCGAAATTAAGGTCAACCTCCATAACCACGAGTTTCCGATACAAAACCTATCGCAAATGAACTTTGATACAATTATATTCCCCCCCGGCGTTTACCGATTTGAATCACTCAATGTGATTTCCATACGCGTTTCGGCTTTTGGAAGCGTAACTGCGGAAAAAGTAGATACGCATTCCCACGAAATCGCCCAAGGGGATATCTTTGTAGCTAAGGGGCCGGTGGATATAAACGTTAGAGAAAAGTGTGCCTTCGTCATTATGACGTCAAAGTTGGGTATCCTATAAACTCATAGAGGCCAAGGAGATCGTCCATCACTTGGGATGGTAGTCTTGGTCGATGTGCACTGTTGACGATGTGATCCATAACCATTGGTTCAGGAGTAGGAGTCGCTGCCAATGAAGGATCGTAATGGGAAACCATAGCGTCCATAATCATAGGGTCAACAACTGGTCTTGCATTTAGAGCGACTTGAACTGGGATAATGTTAGTTTGTTTGGCTATATATGTATGCGATATGCACTTACCTCTTTTTTCTTGCTCGCCATTACATAAGTGTGCTCCGTCTTGTAGGGCATCCAAATTTACGGTGAAGTTTTCAGTTTCCCCGGAGATAAGGACCGTTGTTGAATTTACCCAGCTGCTATCTCGGGTCGAATCTAACCTTCGATCGCTATTAGCCGAGGTCGTTATCTGTTCTGCGCTGGCTAGTGAAGCTAACGCGGTTCCAGAATTTGCTGCGGAATATGTACAGTTGGGATTAACTACAACGGATTCACAGGGTCGAACTGTAGTCGGAAAGGTACTATTTGTGTCAAAAAGGTGCAAGGCATCAACACCAGGTCGACTACATGGGTTCATGCGGCGACCTTGCAGCTCGTTATCCAGACACGGCCGTTTTTTGAGTATACTGTGGGGCCCAGATTCCGTTCCTATGTATCCGAAGTATTAGTCCATGATAATTGAGAGAGACTTATGCCATATGGCCGTACCAGATCCCTGTTCACCTGCAGAGACGACACGATCCGTGGAATCCCCTGATTCTGCTATGCGAAATGAGGCCTCAGGCAGCAGTACACGGGCACTGTGGAGTTGAGAAAGGACAGTGGCTGCATTAACAGCATCGGCATTCCGGGCATCGCGATCCCGTAACGGTTCAGAGCCCATTTCGTGCCCCCTTTCCACCACGTTTCTGTTCGATTGATGGAGCCAGGAGCCTTCGTTTCTGGCAAAGTCGGGAGAGGGTGGATACTCAGCCACTACCTGGCAAGACTGCTCAAGGCCCATCCAAGGTGGACCACCTGGACGATGCTGTGGCGACTGCGGGCTGTTGGCCGACATCGACTCGCTAGGCCCCCATGTTTCAGTATGGGGTGGAGGCTCGGACAGCTGAACACGTCGCTGACGGTAGTTGGCCTCAATACCCTTAGTAGTATGGGTAGATGGAGCTGTGCTGTTCGTTTGTCGCCCTTGGCGTCTCTTTTGGCCTGTGGATGTGTCAATATATAATACTCCTCTAGCAATTATGGCGAGGCGATATACTTCGCTCTTTATTGCTCTCCGCTGTTCTCTTATTGCTGAAATAGGCCTTTGAGGGGCGAAAGTTGTCCTGCAGTTTTTTGGAAATTGCTTCTCCAATAGGTTGTAAATTCGATGTTTTCACAACTTTATCGAGGCCTAGCTCACGAAGCCTTTGAGCTTCTTGCGGTATATATTTTCGGAATTGCCGATTTGTGTATCTAGAAAGAAACAATTAGAATTATCAATAAATATAAAATTTGGGCTAATTATACTCAGTCTCGTAAACCCCCAAAGGCAGAGCAATCAAACAACCTAAGTTCCCAAGTTCAGTAACCCAAGCGTCATATCCGCGACCGATCTCAACATAGCGGCATAACTTGTTTTTTATTTCTGCAATACTGCCCAGTGATGGATAACGGGTTCCTATAACTTTTGATAGTGAATTTGATGCTCCCCGGCGCCACTGTTTTCCAGAATGGTATCCTTGTTTAACAATCGAGACGTAGAAACTATGTAGATAGAATCGACGAGATATTACCAAAGCGTCCCTTACTCCCTCACTCTGGTCAAGCCTATAGAATGCTGCCACCAAGCCTTTTTCTTTAGAGAGACATTGTAGCTGCGGCTTCAAAAAAGGTCTAGGTCCTTCTGCCTGGCACCGTTCCAAAATGGCGTGTAATGGGGATGGTATCTCGACTGTTGACACTTCGGGAAGTCTGCGTTGGAATTGCGTTACAGTGGTTTTGATTGTCTTTTGAGTGGAGCCCCCTTCTGCTTCAGAAGTTTCAGAAGCATCTGTCCGTTCTTCAGAATCGTTCGTCTGGCTTTCATACCCCGCTCCCTCCTGGGTAGAATCCAGGCGGCCAGAGACATCCGCACTCTTATCCACACTTCTATCATTTTTTTCTCGACGTCTCCTTGGTGTTTGTGTCAGTCTCTTAAGGGATGTCTTTTCGAGGTCTGGTAGGGTTCTGTAGCAGTTACGACATTCTTCCGTTGATAGAGTCTCATTGTTGTCGCTTAAGAATTTTGCCAACGCAAGAAGACGTGCCTTCAGTTCTTCAACCTTGGGGTTAGAAGCCATCGCTATTAAGAGTAAGACATTGATATTGCAATATATTTGCGAGACTCACATTCCGCAGTACCTGAGCGGTAAGCAAGCAACCATCACTGACGATCGAAAAGATTTGGCCAGCGTGCGCACTTTTTCTTGGACGAACTTCGTCACGGTGCACGGGGCCGTTTGCCAAGCGGAGCCTCGGGAAATACCCGAAGTTGTCTTTGAGCTAACTCAAAGACAACTTCGGGTATTTCGTGAGAGCCAAAACGCTCGGGCTCTTAGCACCCGCCCCCAAGATATCGATTGTAAATGGTAGATCCCATATTGATACGGCTATAAAGTAATCTTACAGCCCCTTGGGTATGGACGCCTTTCTGCCCTTCCTTGGTAGTGTGTCTTAGCCTTGCACCTACACATGACTTCCAGCTTTGGTTGCCTGGCCCAGTAGGCAAGATGGCCAAAATATTCTCCTGGTTCTGCTTTTCCTTGCAGCCAGTGCAGCCTTCGCCCCCTAATACCCAATACACATTTCCTGACAGACCACCCTACTCGGAATCGTACAGCTACCCAGCGCCTATGTCTGCCGGCGGCCACTCGCCAACCTGTCGCTTTTTGCCGGCTGATTTACGAACTTCGCCCCGCCCGCAAACCCACGCAAGGGTCCCCCCACAAACAATCGATGAAGCATACCTTAGCTCCACGCAAGATACAGATCGTCGTCGGCCGAGTCTCCCAAATGCAAAGTGCCAACGGACAGAATATCAATCTCCCAGCCCGGAGAATGTTTTCTGGGGTCCTCATGGTCTGGAGAGCACAAGCGGCGTCGCGCAGCCGTTTAGTTCGGTCGGTTCTTTTATGGACTTTGGGAGTACTCGGGAGAATCGGTTGGATCGATGGCTGAATGGAATGTTATTTTGGAAGTCGCCGACCCCGGGCTAAAGAGTCACGTACTGTCATGACGCAGGATGGTAACGTTCAGCCGCCTGTAACAAATGTTATCCTTATCTTAGTTAGTCCTATTTGGGATATTATGTTACATAATGTTGAAGAGCAGTCAGATGACCTTGATCAGCATTTAGGTAATGATCAGGTGATCTTGCCGATTAGGGACAGCCCCCCCCTCTGCAAACCCCCTACATGAACTGAACAACCGACCCAGCAATATTGCATGGAAAGAGCACGAATAAAGGGGCCTTCTCCCCTTCAACATATATGGGCCGTGAGGATATTATAGATGATAGACAGATGTAGCTTAGCTTGAACCCTGCGTAGCCACTAGGCTGAAAATGAAAATGGATTAATAATAATAATAATAATACTAATCCCCCCTAAGCATTTGAATAGCTCGTACATTTCTAGTCCGGAACGTAATGCATAATATACAGTACAACAGAAACTGCCGGTGCTGGGGTCTATTTACCTAGTGCATATGGACTGCTGCCAGCTAACACATAAAAAGGAGTGATACCCCACGGCCACAGCCATAGCCCAGACACTATCTTCTGTATCTTGCCGAATATCGTTATCCTTTAAATCGTTAAACCATGTATAGCCTGGACCCCACACAGTGTTTTTCTTATCAGCTGCTTCCTCATTGCAGTACGCAAACGTCGGGTGAAGATTTTACTAGAGAAGTCGCCATCGAATGGAGCATCTGGAGGGCCCAACGACGTATCGCCCGCCACTATTACGCTCTTATTGCACGCTGACGGAGTGCCCGATGAGCCAGACTGGGGTCAACCAGCCTACATACACAATAACCTCAAGACGTTGACGCTCGGGTCTGCCTGTGCAATTGAATTCCCACTGTATGGAGTACTGATCTTGATTGGCGACTCATCAGGCTGACCTCCAATAGTGACCTTATGTTTCCTGGAACGGCTTAGGGTGAAAAAGGCGCATTATATGTAACGTTGCATTCCGATACTGTCAGTGTTGCTAACGATCTATACTATAAGATTCACCATAAGGGATACCAGGCCGAGGTGGGGGCGATTGGCGCTACTCGATTGCGTCACCAGGGGTGCGGGAGACTCTTCTTCAGCGTGAGGTCGTGTTCAAAGTGGAATATCCCAGCGGAAGGTATCCCGAAGACCGCGAAGAAGTGGGGAAGCGAGCTCAAAGGGAACTCGCGCGCATTTTGGCTCTAGTATAGTAAGGAATACTGCAAAAGACTCGGCGAGACAGGATATTCTTGCTGAATATTTCAAATTATGCACCAAGGCTTCCTCGCTCCAGTCTCCTCCTCCTTTGTGTGTACCATCCCCATTTTCGGTTTTCTTTATTTCAATTTAAGGTGTAATTATCTGGGTACTTTTGCCTTTACTCAATAACCACGCGAGCAACTCTCATTTCAGCTAGGGCTTAGGCTCAGGTGTTGGGTCCGTATATTTACCGATCCAGGATTATTCATAGCGAAGGATTTTGTACGTTTCAAGTTGTCTATTATCATCCGAGATTTCTTGAGCAAGGTTCTCGCATCTGACTCCGTGGTTGGTAGATAGTATGGTTTTCTCGAGGACGTTGGGATGCGGCTACAATGATTGGCTCGGGTCGGGTTCGGGCCGTTGAGAGTGGGGCCGCTTGGCGCGACCCTTCCAACGCTCACACTTCCGCCACAACCATTGCTACTTGGTTTAGTTTTTCTTCATACAGTCAATGTCATTTCGATCCGGTAAAGCCCACACGCACGGAAACAATCCATGTTCTTTCATATGGAACGTATTCTCCAGGACCCTCTGTCGCTGAAATTGCCGGTCCCAACCCATTTTCTCCGGGGTTGCGGTAGCGACGCGAAGCGGGATGCGTTGCCCTCTCGATGATACTCAAAGTACTACTTTAATCTGTGATGTTATAAGAGTACCCAATTCCGCTGCTGCAGTGAATATGCACCAGACAATCTCATTTCATTTCCGCCCGCTAGCTCCTCGATACGTGCGATATGATGGCAGATTACCTCCCGTCCGGGGCACTGAGTCTCTTGTTCACGGCTCCGATTGTGGCGTTGTTCCTACGGTCACTCCTATATGGTAAGCCACACCGGGCGGTGAATGTCACTCTCTTTCTTGGGTCGATGGTGCATATCGCGGGTGAAGGTGCATGTATCGCATTCATGGTGCGGAACGGTAGGCGGCGGCGGCCCCTCGAGCTGCTGCGAAAGCTGATTGACCCTCAGGCAGTGATACGATTGGTTTGATTTTTCTTGGGGTCACGACCATATTCTTTCCTCTTTTCGAGGTTCGTCGGCCTTGTTCCTTCCAGGCCCGACTGATTATTTCGATAGACATCCAGCATGGGGAGCATTCCAACAGAAGGTCTAGCTCCAAAGCCTCATGACCCATTCTACATCTGTGCCGGGTTGCTGTTGCTCCTCAAGCTCCTCTGTGCCTTCACGCCATTGTTTTGCTTAAAAGCATACTCATCCGTTCACCTGCTGCTCAGCTTTGATTGGGTTGCTTTCCTGGTCAAGACGCAGTCGATATACAGCAAATCAACATCATTCCACTCCGACAGCGAGCCGGCCATGGCCAGGCTCAAGTACCGGATGGCCATCTGTGTTGTAATGGCCTGCTTCGAAACGTCGCTCGGTGCGTATGGGCTTGTGACCAATCGACCTAGCGTCGTGTCGATTGGTTGGATGAAGGTGGTGACGGGGATGTACGTTCTGCCGGGGGCATTCCAATGCGATAGAAAGGCCCGTCCTACTCGCACTGATGGCAGGGGATGTACGAATGTGGAACGCCGCAGCAACTGGTTGAACAATGAATCAGGGTGCTGAGGCAGGCTCTATAGCCTTTCTACGGAGGGTGAAAATGGTGTCAATATTTGAATGAATGCGATGAAGGCGGATTTTGGTGCATTTAGTCTCTCTTGTCTCAGGCAGGATGTAATAATATCAACCGCAATCTAAACTGAGAATCTGCTCAGTCAGATATTTTATTCATAATAAATCGAACCCTAAGAATCATATGAAGCATAAAGAGAGGATATCTAAAAACATGATGCGGCACAAGCTTCATAGGCGCCAGGCCTCTCCTCTGATTCCATCAAGCTGGGATCTGATACGCACTATCTGGCGGGTCAACAGTCGACAAACACGAGGAGAGTACCACAGCGGGAAGTAACCATAAGTGCATTCCAGAGTATCTCTTCCCTGTGGGTCTGCAGCACCGTGGCAATGGTCGGTCTACAAAGGCATGGTGGAGTAGCTATGTCGCAGGCATGGCTTCGACGTGAAAGAGATCATGGAAGCAAGCTCGGAATATACTTAGCGGGATACCAATTACCATTCAAATTGAGTTCTGTGGCGCTACAAGAGTATCAAGGGTATGAATTTTTTTTTTTTTTTTATTCATCAAGTACGCTGCCAATCAAAATCGCCAGTGGGACGGGTTCTTCTAAAGGGGGTGCAAAACATTTCATACCCATAGATAGGACTGTAGTCAAGTCTGGGTTACTCACTAGTCCGCTTGGCATCTGGAAGTGTGAACCATCAGTTGCCGGAAGTCAATCTCAGACCACTCCAGACCAGCGCTCAGGATGTGAGCAACAAACAGCCATCCTCTTAAGACCTGTCATGGGTGTCTCAAATAGCGACGTCGGAATTTGCGTATCAAGGTCCCGACGGGTTTTGGAAATAGCCATGCAGGCCCGCGAGATTCCCAATCCATAGATAAATCAGGTCCGTCGCCATGTTTCTCGGCGTGATTCGTGACCAGAAGTCTTCTTAAGCAACATCTCCATTATGGATCGTGAGTTTTTGTCACTCCCCCAGAAATTCATCTACTCAAGCAACCACAGGTTCAGTCCGTATATACTATGTTGCTCATCATATCGCAGTGGATGGCAACACCACACCACCTCCACTTCCTTCGGTGATTATGAACGAAGCAGTCCATGTTTTCCATTCGCAACATGGCTGGTTCATCGCCACCAAGCAAACGCTTACTATGGAGGAAATCCGAAGTCCATCTGAGTTTCCCTGCAAGAAGGAGGACTTTCTTGATGCCGCGGCTGTCTGCCAGCAAGTCGCGCCAGAAGCCGCACTTGCGTACACATCGGTCATCAATGCACAAGGCTTGAATGCGCAATTTAGTTCCCAGTGTGAAGCTCGTGATGTGGTGATCAGCGATCATCTAGCATGGCGAAAACAGGAATGGCTGGGATTTGGGAGGAAGCTGGATCATGCCAATGGGGAGCAATTGACCAAGGACTGGATAGACTATTTGGATGCCATGAAAGATCGCATGAGATATATCATTCAGGAGCACCCCAATTGCTGGAGACAAGTTCTGCCAACCAGCATTCTTGCGATTGCGGACTGCGTTGGAAGAATTCGCAGCATCTCACACCCATTCCCGGGCACAGGGGAGCTCGAGTCCCCGAACGGGCAGTTCTCCGTGGCGCAGTTGACCTGTGTCCGAGATCGGTACACGCAGGAATTGGAGGAGCTTGACAAAGCCATCGCGGATCTCAGTGATCGATGGACAACCGTGGTACGCATTCCCCTATGTCTCCGATATTCTTCTCACTCATCCTGTCGATCAGCCCGGGCCCACTCTGTCCAAGTTTCTACTTCATATCGTTGTGCTTCTCATGGCATCCGAATATGAAGTGATCAGGGCGATGCCGAATTATCAAAGTGCCATTTCCTGGACAGAGGTGGAGTGGCAGCGTCAAATTCAGCGGTCGCGAGATCTGTCCGACGATGATTACCTCGCCCTCGCCGACGTACTGGCTGAGTATCGCGTGTTCCCAGATGATACTGGATTAGCGGCCGGAAAGCTGAAAGAGCAGCATGAGGCTTTGATGGCGGGGCTGGCAGCAATGGTCCTTGAATTCACGTGGGGGAGTGTGCGACCTCTGGGTGTGAGATATACCGCCTCCATGAACATCATGATTCTCTGTGCATGTCTGGGCATACTCCCCGCGTGTCCAGGCGACAAGATTCATTCCCGGGTCGACATTGACTATCTCGCGTCCCAGCTTAGCAGGTCGCCACTCCACGATAGGATCAATTGCTCCGAAGTGATAGGTGAGCATAATCGCCTCATTCACTTCCTTACGCCTCAGGGGTCATTGATGGTGGAAAGGAACCTGGCGGCTCCCGGGAACAGCGGGGGAACAGCGGCGACCCAGCTCACCAAACGGCCGAGCCATGGTGATATCCGTGACGATGGAAAACGGCCAAAATTTGACGGTGCCGAAAGCGACTAGCTCACACTGCTGCACCATATCGAGGTGGGCTGGCATGATGTTGCATCTATCCCGGGAGCGGTGGGAAGGCGTTTAGTCTTGCTGGCTTAGATATTCCATTTCTAGAATTCCCATGTCCTTCACTACTCCGCAAGGCCTGATGCGGCTGTGATGAAGATCTTTGAATGTATTGTTTTGATCTATGGTGGAAAAGACCAGGGCAATGTGATGAGTGTATTGTTGATGCAATTTGGTGACCAGTTGTTCAGGCATAGTGAAATAGATGTAGGGTCTGGCTGTGCTCTGAAATTCCAGCAATGGATGCACGCAGCAAAAATCCAAATCTGTTTCCTGCCCCTAAAAAACTACCGCCATCCTCGAGATGCCAATGATCTGTTTCCCAACAGGACGCATGTCTCCCAAAGGCCATATCCTGGTCTTGGAACTGAGCTCTCCTCCGCCCTCAGCGTGGGGCCGGGTCGCGGTGGAAAGGTATTCATTCGTGGGAATTCAAGCATGACACAATAGGAAGGCTTGCTAATACGAGGCTGGGCATGCAGGCAGGAATTGTGCCTGCTTCCCAAATGAGTGTTTTCATTTCAGACCATGCAATGGGTGCACTTTTATTCGATTGGATGGGACCAGGAAACGGTCAATCATGGGTATGTGGCCTGCCACCCAACAATCGGTAAATATAAAAGGAGACCCCCTCGGCAAGAATTTGGTGTCGGTTTCAATTGTTCTGGGCAGTTTTTTTATGTACAGCATATCTTTTACTGGAAATTTCAACATGAAGCCATACATGTCGTGGGTACCAACACCTCTTGGCGGGTGTAGTGGCTAATTTCATATAGATTGCTGGCCCTTCTGAACACCAGAAGCGGACAGCAAGCTTGCTCTCGAATCCATGAACTTCTGGCACCATCACACAACAATGATCTGGACTCTACCTCGATTCCGAGGTTGATTAGTATAGCGAATGGTTTACAGGTTGCTGCTCGCTCTGGATTTGCTGTTGTGGTTCTAATTCATTTGTAGAATGCCAAGGAGGTTGCCGAAGCTATAGCAAGTGATGGGGCTGACAGCCTTCCGTCGCTGTTTGATGCTCTACTACAATGCTATCAAGATTTCGAAAATGAAAAGCCCACGCCGGACCTCCAACTTCTATACAATCTCGAATATATAATTCTAAAAGCGGCAGTTTCATTTCAGGGTCGTCTGTGGAGAAAAGTTCCTTCATGGGAATTATATTGGCCACCTATGAAAGGTTTGTTGAATCAATTTGCCGACGACATTCTTGAACGATTCGTATATTTCGAGGAATTTGCTCGGATTTTTGACTTGGGATTTCGTGCTCTGGGTGGTGAAATGTATATCCTTGCAGATGGTTGGGATTGTTCCATAAAGGAGGCGAAAGAGGCTGGATATGTACCTCCAGATGTCAGTGAGATCATGCAGCTGCAACGGGTAGCAGATGGTGTACATGAGCGGTATGGGCTTGAGAAGGTTGCTCGATCGGTTGATCTTTTGAATGTGCGGGAAAAGCTCTGCAAAAGACTTGAGGAGGTGCACTGATTTTGAAATATCGCGTTGATCGAATGTGAAGAGTAGCTGAGACGTCGAAAATTGTCTAGTGTCGCTGAGCTAGATATTCTGTCTCTGGAATCTCCGTGTGCTTCGCTATTCTGCAAGGTCTGTTGCAGTGTCACCTTACCCACAGGCGGGCTGTACCTTTATTTCTATTGCAACTGCAACTGGATAATTTGTATATACGAATCTGCTGCCCTGTTCAGCCCACTCGTATGCTTAAAGACAGTGGTCTTCCGGAAAATATAGTTTCAGTCACATATTTTCAGCCGTAGAGAATAGCTATTGAGTCGGGCTGTGTAAAATTTTGCTATCAATGGAATGCAGCCAACGCATGCATACGGCGAGATTTTTGCATTGCTCTTTTCGTCTCAAAGAATGAAAGTTTTGTTCTTCCCAGAAATGTCAATGTTTCGTTTCCAGGCAGGATGCATGCTCCAAAAACGCCATGTCCTGTCCTAGCTGCAGCGCTGGCACTTGGCCTTGAACGGTCACCCACCAGGCTGAATAGTGATTCCGCTGTCCAAATGGGTCCCGTGGAAAGGCGATCCCTGCATTTCAGACACTTAGCTTTCCTCCGTTCGTAACGAGAATCTTGGACGCGGTGGAAAGTTTTGCGTGAAAAGCAATATGGGAGTAAAACATGCTGGGACAGGCCAAAGGAAGTGGGGCCGGGTCAGTATGGCCATTGGCCCCTTCTCCTTACGATGCCGACGGAACCCCAAGTCCGTTGGTGAGGTTCATCACCAGGGGGATGCAGCAGGGGTTTCCGGCAGCTGCTCCAATAGCTGTTTTTATTCCAGACCAAGGAGGAAGTCAGGTTCCACGATTCTTGGGTGGCTACCGCTGCCGTCGGTGCAGGTCCCGGTTAAAGATTGGAATGCGGGTTTACCCACGAACTATTCATCTTAACAGCGGTACAGCCGTACTGTACACTAATGTAAGAGGTAAGCTGTAGGACCTCAGCCCGTCCTCAGGCCAAAGCATATATGAATAAAGCACCTCTCTCGGACTGTCCCTCCCACCTGCGATCCCCCAAACGTCTTTGGAATGGCATCCAATCACTATATGTGGGCTTTCTGCTCTGTCTTGTAAGTGTCCTTTGAGAGGGAACCATGCAGCCAAGCAGTAACCATCCGAATTCCAGCATCTACCGATACCTCCGGCTTGTCATGAACCTATGGGCGTATCATCAGTTCAAGCCGATTGCGCCTCCCCGCGACCCGGCGCTGACGTCAAAGGATGTGACCGTCATCGTACCCAGTCATAAGCTCCCCCGTCATTTAGGCTCAACTCTTCAGTCCGTGGTGGACAACAGGCCGCGGCAGTTGATCCTGGCCACCACCGAAGAAAACAAAGCAGCAGCAGAAAGAATAGCAAAGCAGTACACGCGGGCTCAGACTGAGCTGCAGGTTGTTGCAGTCAAGAGAGCCAGCAAGAGAAGACAGTTGATCGAGGGAATAAAGAATGTTACCACTGCTGTCACGGTGCTCGCGGACGACGATGTGATCTGGGGTCCTAGCCTCCTGCGATGGATTCTTGCGCCATTTAGCCGAGAGCGAATCGGGGGGGTTGCAACGTGCCAACGACTGATCCGTGAACCAGGTGGGAGTTGCATCCAAAAGCTGTGGGGTTTCCTGGGAGCCTTGTATCTTGAGCGGAGGAACTTTGACTGCACGGCAACGGCCTACATAGACGGAGGAACAGCGTGTCTCTCCGGAAGGACCGTGGCATATCGGACTGAGATCCTGGCAGACCCAGCATTGCAGGCGGAATTCGAGACTGAAACCTGGCGCGGCCATGAGGTTCGATCAGATGACGACAATTTCCTCACACGATGGTTGGTCTCGCATGGCTGGGGAATGTATTTCCAAAACCACCAGGAGGCACTTGTCGTTACCACGCTGGAGGATAACTCGAGGTTCCTGAAGCAGTGCGTCCGCTGGTGTCGGAGCAACTGGAGGAGCAACTGGAGGAGTCTCTTCTGTGAGAAGCACATTTGGTGGTGTGTATCTACGTGCAAGGGAGGCAATACGTACTGACTCCTCTTTTCCCAGGAAACACCCATACAGCACTTATGCGGTCTACCTCACCACTCTTTTCCCACCAGTGGCGTGCGTGACGGATGGGATGTTGGTCTGGCTATGTCACAAGGCGACCGAAGCCGACCGTGCGTCGAACCGTCGATTGCTGACATTGCTTCTGTTGTGGATGTTCATCACCAAATGTGTCAAGTTCCTAGGCTACTTCCAGCGGAATCCTGTTGACATATTCCTGCTGCCACTGTCCGTGTTGTTTGGTTATGCGCACGGTGCGATCAAACTCTACGCCCTCTGTACGCTGCACGTGGTAAGTCCTTGGCCCCATTGGGTCTTGGCAAAGCCTTCCAACTAACATCAATGGTATAGACCACCTGGGAAGACCGGGCGGAACACCCCGCGCGGACGTCGGGGCGAGAGCTGCGTACATTCTTCTGGGTTAGTTGCCCCATCTTTCTATCGCGACCATGGCTCACCATCAATCCGTGAGAAGGAGTATGGCTGGCCAGCGGGCGACAGGAATCTGCAGCTTCGCCTCGTGGGTGCTGTCCTCTGCCTGCTGGTCCTGCGGGGGCTGAACATGTTGATGCCGCTGCAGATCCGATGGGCAATGGACACGTCGAGTGAGCCTCGTGGTGAGTGCCCAACAACGCCCGCTGTAGCTTCCATCCGCTCACAAAATATAGATATAACCTTGCAAATGCTCGCCCTTCTGTTCTCCCAATTATTCGATATCAATCAGCTTTTCGTCAGTCTGAGATCATCTCTGTTACTTCCTCTGGAGAAAACGTGGTCTCGGAGACTGAGGGAGGATGCCTTCAGCAAGATTATGAAACTCCCAAGCAACCTTCATGACTCACAGAACCCTGCCAGCTTGTTGGACATGATTTCAGAGACACGCAGCTTTGAGAACGTCGTGACGATGACCCTCTTCGTCTCTATTCCTACCTTTCTCGACACGCTCCTCGCTCTCGTCTCCATCTGCTGGCAGCTTGGACCCCGGGAGGCAGTATCCTTTTCCGCGGTCATGGCGGGCTACGTGATGGTGGCGAGGAAGTTGCACTCGCGACGTGGGAAACAATGGGCTGAATACTGGAACAGGATCGCACGGGAGAGAGAGCTCCGCCAAGACGTCATCTTCAATCGATTAATATCAGTCCGCTTCAATCAGGTTGACGGTGAGATCGCCCACCATGGGGCTTTAGTCAATGCATCTCTGAATGCCGAACCGGGCTATTCCTCTCCGTTTGAGACCTTGGTTTTTTTTGCCGCCGGACTGGTCTTATGCGTTGTAACCACGCGACGTGCTGGTGCGATGGCCTTGATGGTAGCGCACCTAGTGCTACTGCGCAGGCCCTTGGAGATCCTGTTGAGTATCGTGGATGGTGTAAATCAGGAACTTGCGCGTCTGGAACCACTCATCGCACTCTTCAATATGTCGACGGCTGACCAACTGAGAATCCTACCAGGGATTGTATTCGACCGAGTTACCTTTTCTTATGGCTCAAACAATATTCTTAACGAGCTGTCATTCACGGTGCCAAACGGCAAAACTGTGGCTATTGTCGGAGCGTCCGGCACTGGAAAATCAACAATATGCGACCTTATAAGCCGAGACCGGTCTCCCGATTCTGGTGCTATTCGAATTGACGGTAAAGATCTTTCAGACATCGATGGGAACCGCATCACATATGCATCTCAGAAGCCTGATTTCCTTCGTCGCAGCATTCTGGCTAACCTTCAATATGGCCAGCCCGGAGAGGATGAGACGGTTGTGCAAGAGATCTGTCGTGCGGTGGGCATTCACGACCGGATACTTCAATGCTCTGAAGGGTATCGCACTCAATACAAACCTCACCTATTTTCTGGTGGAGAGCTGCAGATGTTAAACACCGCGCGTGCGCTTATCAGGAAATCTGCACGAATCGCGCTGTTTGATGAGCCCACAAATAACCTGGATAGTACGTCATCCACCCGAGTCCTGGATGCAATAAAAGATTATGGCGTGACACGTACATGTATCATAATATCGTGAGTTTCCACTCTGGTTAAGCCTGCTTCATGCTAACGCTGAATGTAGGCACAAGCTCAGGGATATCCAACATATCGATCATATATTGGTTCTACAGAAAGGAAAAATAGCGGAAACAGGGAATTTCAGCCAGCTAATAGCCAAACGGGGTATATTTTACGATTTCTATCTAGCGGGAACTGGGGGCAGTACGAAGGCCAAATAATATATTTTCTTTTCTTGAGGCCTGTTCCTGGGATTTGCCTAGGCTGGCTGGCTAGGTCGTTAGAATGGCAGGAATGTAAGCTGTCTCCAGTCAGCAATGTATGGGTTCAATGTTAAAGATGCAATCTTCTACCAAAGCCAAGACGTTTCTCTTGATTTGGGAGCTTGATCTAGTCGTTGGCCGCATCATGAAGCAAGTGGTCAATACACATCAACTTTGAGTTGGGTTCTAGGTAGGTAAATCGAAAATGAGGTGATATATACAAGGTTGCCCCGCAAATAACATCCGTCCCTTCAATGACCCAAAATGCAGGTATAGAGTTGGGGAAAGTCGTGAGGGTTTGCCGCACTGGTTTTTAAATGTCATTTGGTTTTGTTGCGAGCATCAAGTGCAGAACTAAAGCTTGAATGTTCACAATCAAATTATTTTGCTATAGAACCATCTTGACATCGCTGCCTTGCAGGTATTCTTTACAAGTGATAGGGCCCATCTACCGGAACATAAGATGAGCTCTTGCAATATGTGAAGCACCCTGATAATTGAGAACAGTGAGCCATAAAATGCAAAATCATGGAGGAGAACAGGATTGTGGGGTGATCATGAGGATCCAAAAAATGATTACATGTCGCTGGAGACAAAGCCCGATTCCAAGATAAAGATGGAGGAGGAAGTATGGACTCAACCTGAAGGCCACCTGCTACGGCACCATTGACTCGATCAAACACAAGATCAAATACTCTTTTTCCCCTCCTTGTTGGAGGTCTCTGTGAGGGGCTGGGGATAGCCAGCTTCCACTTGGCATATATTTTCATACTTGGGGTTGATGGAATTTTAAGCTAACTCTAGCAGGTCTCTGAGAACTCTCTGCCTCTACAGCCCTTCCCAAAACAGATCACCGACAGGTCACTACCAGTCAGTTGCGAACCAGTACATGGTGCATCTTCCTTAGCCCCATTAGGCCTTGGTATACAGCTTGTGCCATAAACGTAATGATAGCCGCATTTGACCCGGTCAGACTTTCTTGACGCCTCGCACATGTCTCAAGATATTCATCGTCCGGGGCTTACGTATAACGCCCTATTATAAGAATAGGGCGATCAAAGGACAATGGATGCCATTTCGCCCTGCTTTTGTATCGGACATGATTGTAGGATGACCATAGTTGAGGGGTAATGGTGATATTCATCTTTATAGTGGGCAAAAGCCATGATTTTGAAAACCATGGTCTGAATCCCGGACTCATGAGATTCAAGATGAAGAAGGGCAATGAAAACCAACCATGGCTGGGGCTGAGCTGAGTGAGCAAAAGAGCACCTGTTGATTTTTACCTTTCTTGACTTTTGGCTTGGTCTCCAATGGCAGCTAAGCAGGAGCGAGCACACAGAGCAACTTACTACCAGAATCTCCGGCAGGTCCCCCCTGGGCAGTGCTTCGATGCGGCGATCGAGAATGGCATGAACCTGTACAGCCTTTATTTCATTTGGCAGCCATCTGACTGTAAGTGAAGAAATGATGGATTCAATCACATGGGCACTCCGAGCCAACCACGATGATGACCGGCCGGCGAAACATAAGCAGCAGACTTGAAAAAAATGTATCCTTCTTGATACCTGAATCCAGAGATTTAGGGCTTATATAGACTGCAGTCTGCAGACCTGTGGCTCCATGGCTATCCAGCTACACAGGCCGCCAGTTGACAGATCCAAGGCTGGTGGAGACATAGACCTGTGGATGCACGTCCAGAGTGGATCCACATCCACGGCTTTCCAACGCAACCGCCAAGATTGAAGTTAGGTACCTAACTTCAGGTGGGACAGAATTATCACGTGAGGACATATATTTACAATTAAGACAAAACACATTCAATCTGGAGAACTTTCGGAGGAAATCAAAAACCTCATAATTGCTCGGCAGCATATCTTCAACGAATGACTTTGAAAAGCACAATCCATTACAGAATGAGGATTTATTGCATCATAAAGAATTTGAAGAGGTGATTAAATGCCTAGTATGATAGCATCTCCCCCATTTAGGCTGAATCTTTATTGACCTAACTTGGAAAGCGCATCAAAATATCGCTCAAATACTTCTATTTCGCATTCAAGATGACATCCCACGACGTATTCAAGGCAGGCGCCCATTGATATCCTACTTATACCCACTTCGTATATCGAAAGAATCCACGGCCCATTCTGCATATCCTGCCGCGCCGAACTCATCCTCAAAAAGACTTCATGTTGGCATGTTTGTAATATACCAGGATGACATTTATATTGACGGGCGACTGGATTTCCTGCTAATTCGGGTTGTGGAGCGCGTCGTTTCCAAGGGGGCTGAGATGCCTGCCGAGGAATGCACAAAGAAATGAATGAAGTGGAGTATGTTCTTTGTTTAGCATAAGAATGTTATTGAGTCCCATCGGCTTCGTGAAGCATCGAATATTGATCCATATCGATGTAACTGAGCATCGGTTCATGGTGCACATGAAGGGGAGGTGGTGGGGTGGTGGTGGAGGGCTATAATTTGGATGCCTCTCTACTTGCTCCAAGCGCCGACTCAACGAAAGTTTGAGCAGGGCTTACGCATCCAGAAAGGCTTGTCCTAGATTTCTGGAGAAAGCCAATCATAATCAATTTTTGGTGTCCAACCTCATATGACAAGAAGGTTTCTGGGGAGAAGAGAGTATGGAAACAAAGAGATTATAAGAATAGCTATTTATACAGATATCACTTTTTAGTTGATACGCTCTAACAAGTAACAGTCAATTTAACTTGTCTAGTCCCTTCCCCACCACCGAGACTGATAGCACATCCATGCCTGCGTCGAAATTGCCGAGAGCAATCTATCTTATTGCTTGAGTCCTTGGTCCATGTGGTTTTTTTTGTCAAGGCCTCCTTACCAGTGTTCATCCAACATCTCGCACTCCTGACTGGATTCATGACATGGTGCTTTAGAATGTAATATTGAGTCTGACAGGATCTGTGGGATTGCTTCTCAAGCAAATTCAAACCCTTTTTCAATCTTCATTCATCTTTATCCTGCTGAGAATTGTGTTGTCCCCTTTCTCCATCCAGCATCTCCATAGGCTATTAGTCATCTTGTGTTGCAGATATCTATACCGGTCCCTGCAAGCACGGACGGATCGCGTGGGAAGCAATTTTGAAATCTCTTCCCAACTTTTGTTCAACTTTCTCCCGTTAAGAAGTGCGTTGTCCTCTTTCTCCGTCCAACTTCTCTTATAAGAGGTTGGCCTCGGATTGCGTTGCAGATATCTATACCGGTTTTTGCAACCATTGGCGGATCGTTTGGGAAGAAGGTTTGAAATCTCGTTCCAGCCTTTGTTCGCTCTTCTCCCGTTAACAAGTATGTCATCCTCTTCCTTTTCCCAACTTTGAGACGGGCCTATGAGTTTTGGATTGTACCGCATACATCCATATTGTTCAT